GCGCACTGTGTGTGTTTAGAGGATTGCTACATCGTTTGGGATGTGTTTCAAGTTTCAAGATAAGACCAATGTGTATTTTTGTGTGCCACTGAGACTGTTTTTCTGCTACCGGAGCATCTTTTAAGATGCATTTACCCATTGGAAGTCTCAAATGTGCAAGTATATGAATAACATCACAGGTTTTTTTTGTCTTTGATGTTAGCACAGCTAATGTGAGGCATCTGTGACGGCGAAGGCTAGCCTTTGATACAGGCTTAGCCAACGTTATTGACTGATAGTAGCCATGTCTGCTGTTGAGGATGAGCTGACTTCAGATGTGCTTGAATGGCAGCAATTAGGCTCATAAAGGTAGAAGGTGGAAATCTACATATCTCCATGTGCCCTCATCCATTATTCAATTGGATCATTTAGCAGGGAATTAATGTTGATGTTTCATTTCTGACTCCCCATTTAAAAAGACATCCGCTTGGTTGGCAGAAGTCAGTGTAAGGGTCATGTTCGTTCTTAACTACTGCCAGTCAGACTGAGGTAGAGTGGGTCAGTTAGGGGGAGATTGGGGGGAAAAAGCAGGATATAGCTGTCTGGGAGTCCAGGATGTTGCTATATGCACCTGAGGGTATTTAAAGGAAGCACAGGTGCAATGGCAGCGCAAGAGTCAGTGTGTGAACCACTGCAGATATTTTAGGATAACCCCCATTAGGACTTCATTCATAGTGAGGAGGAAAGAGTGGACACTTGAGGACACTCTTATGGATATCCTCTGCATCGGAGCTTTACGTTTGCCCCAATTTGGAAACCGATGCCAAATTTAGGTTTTCCTTCCTCATTTAACGTTGACATAATTTTAGTTCCTGTTTTTCTAACACTGTCCTACTAAGGCTGTGTACTTTCTCACTACTCTACTTTCTTCTTTCGTAGCTTCATATAGTGGAAAAATTTTAATGAGCAAGAGAAAACGAAAAGGAATACGACTTTATAAAAAAAAAAAAGCGCAAAGAAATGAAGATTATGTGATTTTTTTTTTTAAAATAAATTATTTATCTATTCTGTCTATTTTTGTCAGTGGACTGTGAAGCGTGTGGGTGTGGTTGGCTCTTTCCTGTCGGTCCCTGGCGTATCTAACTAACGAGTTTCACTGTTGATATTGTTCGACTGGGTAATAATAACATCAATCAGCCCACATTTTACGTTGTTCAAGAATGGAGTCGTGCACGTGGAGACGCCTTCCCGGCTGGTAGTTCACACCTTGTAATGACTTAGCCGAGAAACACGTAGGGTCAGGAAGTATGATGACCAGAGAATCAGCTTGTGCTGGGTGTTACCCTGGTGGCGTCAGACGATAATGAACAGTGAAAAGCGAATCTGCTGACTATCGGTTGTCAGCTGTAATTACTTCAGAACCTGCAAAAACTTCCTGGGTCTCTAAAAAATGCTTCTAGTAGTGGGATCTCATTATTGGAGACAATTAGAAGTAATGTACATGAAGAATATTACGAGTGAGGAGAGCTCTGAGGCAGATCTTTTTTCATTAACACCACCAGTGATTGTATCTGTTTCAGCAAAACGGACGCATGCCTCCTGAATTTGTAATGCAGCAGCACATAGCCGGTAAACAGAACAACAGGCTATTTCACAGTGTCTGTCCTTCCCTTTGACCAGAACAAATAGATGATAATGAGGTTGCTGTTTGGAATTACAATTTGGTTTTTCTTTATTTTATTATTAATTTAATCGCTTTTAGCTCCAGACTCAGGTTTGGCCTCTGATTTTTCTTTAGCGACAACAAAATACCTCGGTGGTTGCTTTTGGTAGTCATCCTGCAGCAGTGGTCACACCACAGAGTAATGAGAGGGCGGTTATAACTATTAAATAAATTGGGCAAAGATCGCACGCGGAAATGTGATGACATTCCAAATGAAATCATCTTTCTATTGCGATCTCGACGGTCTAATTACACGGGTAAAGGCCATGGTAGGATGGCATTATGGGCTGCTTCGCCGTGATGCATGGTCCTGTCTCTCCTGGCGTATCAGGATTTGACAATATCTTCTTCTTTTTTGTTGTTGCTGTTTCTCAGGAGAAGGCCGGCTTTTTCGCTTTCACGCTTCTTTCTCCCCGTCTGCTTAAAGTGTCTTGAGTACAAAAGCAGAAAGGTTTATGCAATATAGGAGTAGTTGAGCTCATCTGTTTTAATTGACAAAAACGGACACTATCTGTCAGCTCTGGTGAGTGAGGAGGGAATTTTCAGGAAACAAACAGGCACGTTCACTAAACACCCGCTGTTTAGATGTCTTCTGGGAGTAACTGTGTTGTATAGTGCACCTCTCCTGCCAGCAAAAGCACAAAACAAGTTGAGAGACTACAATTGCCAAAGGACAACAACACGCACAAGCTGAGGAGAGAAGAAGCTTGTTTTTTGTGTGTTTTTTATTGTTCTGTTGATAAGCGCTGAGAACAAAAGGAAGCCGAAACAGGAAGGGAGGTAGGGTTAAACTCTCGGGCTTTTACAGTGCAAATGTTTACTATTCCCAGTGTCATGTAAAGATGTTGTTTGCCCAGGAGA